AGAAGCATTTCAAGGTCCTGGAGTGGCCTAGCCAGTCTCCAGATCTCAACCCCATAGAAAATCTTTGAGGGAGTTGAAAGTCCGTGTTGCCCAGCGACAGCCCCAAAACATCACTGCTCTAGAGGAGATCTACATGGAGGAATGGCCCAAAATAGTGTGTGAAAACCTTGTGAAGACTTACAGAAAACGTTTGACCTGTGTCATTGCCAACAAAGGGTATATAACAAAGTATTGAGAAACTTTTGTTATTGACCAAATACTTATTTTCCACCATAATTTGCAAATAAATTCATAAAAAATCCTACAATGTGATTTTCTGGATTTTTTTTTCTTATTTTGTCTGTCATAGTTGACGTGTACCTATGATGAAAATTACAGGCCTCTCTCATCTTTTTAAGTGGGAGAACTTGCACAATTGGTGGCTGACTAAATACTTTTTTCCCCCACTGTACATGCTAAAAAAGTATTTGATCCCCTGCTGATTTTGTACGTTTGCCCACTGACAAAGAAATGATCAGTCTATAATTTGACTGACTGTTTAATGTTTCAGAAAGGGAACTAGTGTTACTAGAATAACAGTACTTTTCCTTTCTCTCTGACACATTCACATGTATTCCCACCATCAGTAAAGGATTGAAAGAAATGAAACTAGCTGATGGGAGCTCGATCTCAGACCTTCCTTACAACATCATTGTGTGTGTGTGTGTGTGTGTGGACCTCCATACCACATCACTCTTTACAGTGAAGACTCTGTCCGCCAGGCTTTCCACTGCAATCCATTTCACAGGCATCTTGGCTATCCTGCCCTGTCTGTAGTAATCACCACTGTAGATCTTCTTAGACAAGCCGAAGTCTGCCACACACACCGTCATGTCATCACGCAGCCTGTAGGACCAGATCAATCAACCAACCAATCAATCGATAGAACAATCTATCAATTCCACTTACTAGAAACATATCAACGTTGACTAGGCAGGATACAAGCACAGGACAATGTGTCTACATAACAATGACAATATGGCGGACAGCAACCGTGAGTTTCTACTTGAATAAGTTGCCAAAATAGACCACAGTCGTGCATTAACAGTACCAAGGACCAAGGATGGTTAAGCTGCCATACTCTCCGTTTACACCTGAGGTATAAGACTGCAGTTGTTTATCAGCTTACATGAATCATTAACGTAGTGATTATATCTTTACATTGTGAAACAGTTCAGGTCAGACCTGTATACACACACACAGTATATACTGTGTTGTAAAGGTACTTAAGTAAAAATACTTGAAAGTACTACTTAAGTAGTTTTTTTTAGGGTATCTGTACTTTACTGTACTATTTATGTTTTTGACAACTTTTACTTTTACTTCACTACATTCCTAAAGAAAATAATGTACTTCTTGCTCCATACATTTTCCCTGACATCCAAAAGTACTCGTTACATTTTGAATGCTTAGCAGGATAAGAAAATGGTCTAATTCACACACTTATCAAGAGAACATCCCTGGTCATCCCTACTGCCTCTGATCTGGCGGATTCACTAAACACATGCTTTGTTTGTAAATGATGTCTGAGTGTTGGAGCGTGCCCCTGGCTATCCGTAAAAACAAAGAAAAGAAAAGAAAATGATGCTGTCTGGTTTGCTTAATATAAGGAATTTGAAATTATTTATACTTTTACTTTTGATACTTAAGTATGTTTAAAACCAATAACTTTTACTCATGTAGTATTTTACTGGGTGACTTTCACTTTTACTTGAGTCATTTTCTATTAAGGTATCTTTACTTTTACTCAAGTATGACAATTGGGTACTTTTTCCACCACCACACACACACACATACATACACACACACACATATATATATATACATACATACATACATATACACACACTGAACTAAAATATAAACGCAACATCCAACAATTTCTAAGACTTTACTGAGTTACAGTTCATATGAGGAAATCAGTCAATTGAAGTAAATAAATGAGGCCCTAATCAATGGATTTCACATGACTGGGAATACAGATATGCATCTGTTGGTCACAGATACCTTTAAAAAAAGGTAGGGGCGTGGATCAGAAAACCACCATTTGGCTCATGCAGCGCGGTACATCTCCTTCGCATAGAGTTGATCAGGGAGGCACACTGTTCACAACGTTTACATCAGCGAAACGCTCGCCCACATGACGCCATACATGTGGGTCTGTGGTTGTGAGGCCGGTTGGACGTACTGCCAAATTCTCTAAAACGACGTTGGAGGCGGCTTATGGTAGAGAAATGAACATTCAATTATCTTGCAACAGCTCTGGTGGACATTCCTGCAGTCAGCATGCCAATTGCACGCTCCCTCAAAGCTTGAGACATCTGTGGCATTGTGTTGTGTGACAAAACTTCACATTTTAGAGTGGCCTTTTATTGTCCCCAGGACAAGGTGCACCTGGGTAATGATCATGCTGTTTAATCAGCTTCTTGATATGCCACACCTGTCAGGTGGATGGATTATCTTGGCAAAGGAGAAATGCTCACTAACAAGGATGTTATCAAATTTGTGCACAACATTTGAGAGAAGTAAGCTTTTTGTGCATCTGGGATCTTTTATTTCAGCTTGTTACGGATACAGGTATCCTGTGTCCTGTGTTTTTCCTCTCCTTCTACCCTAATCACAGGTGTCCTGTATGTTCCTGATTGGTGGTCGTTGAGATGTCTGCTGATTGCTAAGGTGGACCAATCAGTGAACATTCCTCTGCATTGCACCACCTGTTGCTGGTTTTTCAATCACACAGCCCATTGTATAAAAACCAGTCAGTTGTGTTGTTAGAGAGAGAGACTATTTCCGTATGTGAGTATGGATACTGTTGTGTCCTGTGTATTGTGTACTCACTAAGTTGCTGGTTACCCTGTTTGGTAATTTTGTTAGACTACTTTTTTGTATGTGAGTAATGGATACTGTGTTGTCCTGTGTTTAGAGTACTCACTAATTTGCTGGTTACTCTGTTTGGTAACTTTGTGTGTTTCTGGGAAAAGGGAAAGTTAAGCAAGCTGCCCTTGGGCATACATTACCCGTAGAAAGAACTGTCTATAAACACTAGTTAGACCTGAGCGGACCACCCACTGTATTTTTGTATGAGTAGCAGTAGCTTAGCAGTTCTTGAAGCAGGCAAGATCAGTTTAGGGGTGTTTTACACTATTGTTTCATTTCTTGGGTCCTGCTCAGCCCTTTTTCCCAAACCTTTACCGTGTGTTCACAAATAAACATTTTATGTTTGACGGTAGTTTATGGTTGTCGTGTAGTTTTCGTTCTCACTGTTCCATGTCATCATCCTAATTTGCATGAATTATGTTACGGGTCTCATGTCCATCCCCCTAGACGTTTAAAGCCACGGGGTTCGTAACACAGCTCATGAAACATGGGACCAATGTTGCGTTTATATTTTTGTTCAGTTTTTATATGGGTGTGTGTGTGTATATACAGCTCTGACCTGAACTTTGTCAAAATGTAAAGATGTAATCACTATGTGTTCAAAACATTAGCAATACCTGCTATTTCCATGACATAGACTGCCCAGGTAAATCTAGGTAAAAGCTATGATCCCTTATTGATGTCACTTGTTAAATCCACTTCAAATCAGTGTAGATGAAGGGGAGGAGACAGGTTAAAGAAGGATTTTTAAGCCTTGAGACAATTGAAACATGGATTGTGTATGTGTGCCATTCAGAGGGTGAATGGGCAAGACAAAATATTAAGTGCCTTTGAAAGGGGTATGGTAGTAAGTGCCAGGCGCACTGTTTTGAGTGTGTCAAGAACTGCAACGCTGCTGGGTTTTTCACGCTCAACAGTTTCCCGTGTGTTTCAAGAATGGTCCACCACCGAAAGGACATCCAGCCAACTTGACACAACTGTGGGAAGCATTGGAGTCAACATGGGCCAGCATCCCTGTGGAACGCTTTTGACACCTTGTAGAGTCCATGCCCGACGAATTGAGGCTGTTCTGAGGGCAAAAGGGGGTGCAACTCAATATTAGGAAGGTGTTTGTAATGTTTTGTATGGCTCTGTTTCAGGTGAAATGTACACCTACATGCAGTTGCGTGCAGCCAAGTCGCGGTGGAGGAAGTTCCGCCCACTGAGGTATTCCATCCCCATGGCGATGTCAATCATAAACTTCAGGAGCGTCTGCGTGGGCAGGAACTGAAAGAAGAAGAAGAAGAAGAAGAAGAAGACATCATGTTCATCATTACAATGTCATTAACCATATTCAGACAAGACAACACTTTTTTCCAAAGTGCTCGTCGGGAACGCATCAGATAGCTCACCAGTGGACAGTCTCCGAGGCGTGAGCGCAGCAGGAAGCTATGGAGGTCTCCATATCTCATGAAGGGCAGGATCACCATGGGCTTGGGAAAGTGACCAGACCCCGCCTCCAGACAAACACCTAACAGGAGCAGGTCAACGTAATACCAGGTAAATACCAGTACATTTTACAAGATCTTTTAGACATCAACTTTTGATCTCTCTTATGTGTATATATGGCTGGATGGAGTGAGTGAGCATGAATCCATCGTTTCTGCATGATGGACCAGGACTGAGCAGGATGGTCTGTGATGGCAGCAAAGAAGACCTACAGTACCTAGCAGCCGGATAACGTTAGGGTGGTCGAAGTCCTTCATACAGGCAGCCTCATTCAGGAACTCCTCTATCTCCCTCTGGGAGAAGTTATCCACTGGAAAACAAAGAGGAGATTAATACAAATTGTATGTGTTATTTAGCCTGGTCTTAGATCTGTTTGCACTGTCTTTCCAACTCCTGCGGTCATTGGCATGCCAACTCCTGCGGTCATATACAGCACAAAAAGATCTGGGACCAGGCTATGTGGAATTCATCAACATTCTAGGATATTACTCAGAGAGTAAGAAGGAGAAAAAAGCTATCTGAATCTGACCTAAATGAATGGGCATTGTTAGATCAGCCCAATTAAAGAAAACAAATAGAGGATGAAGAAGCTCACATTTCATGGTCTTCACAGCCACTTTCTCAGACGTTCCATCCAGTTGTTTCAGATTTCCCTCCACCACAGAGCCAAATTCACCTGGTCAATAAACAATGGGTAACTATAGAGGTAACAGTCAGAAATACAGCTAAATGACAAATAGCAACAAATAAATAACATGTGAAATGTGATTAAGGAGCAGCCACAAAGAAATGAGATGACCAAAAAATGGAAGAAATGACATATGATTAAGAAAAGGTTTTATTCTACCTAATTTATAACACAAATCGCCTCATACTTTTGTGTAATAAATAATCAAATGAATGTCATCCTCACCCTCTCCCAGAATCTTCCCTATGGAAAGCAGGTTTCTCATAATCATGAAGTCCTGTAGTTTGGCTTGGAGTTCATCACTCACACCCAGGTTACCAACTAGAAAGGGAGCAAGAGGGGAAAATATAGCTCCTATTTCTATTATTGAGCAGAATCTGTGGATATAGATTTTCTTCTCTGATATACAGTACCAGTCAAAAGTTTGGACACACCTACTCATTCCAGGGTTTTCCTTTATTTTTTAAAACTATTTTCTGAATTATAGAATAATAGTGAAGACATCAAAACTATGAAATAGCACATATGGAATCATGTAGTAACCAAAAAAGTATTAAACAAATCAAAATATATTTTATATTTGAGATTCTTCAAAGTAGCCACCCTTCGCCTTGATGACAGCTTTGCACACTCTTGGCATTCTCTCAACCAGCTTCACCTGGAATGCTTTTGCAACAGTCTTGAAGGAGTTCCCACATATGCTGAGCACTTGTTGGCTGCTTTTCCCTCACTCTGCGATCCAACTAAACCCAAACCATCTCAATTGGGTTGAGGTCGGGGGGTTGTGGAGGCCAGGTCATCTGATGCAGCACTCCATCACTCTCCTTCTTGGTAAAATAGCCATTACACAGCTTGGTGGTGTGTTGGGTCATTGTCCTGTTGAAAAACAAATGATAGTCCCACTAAGCGCAAACCAGATGGGAATGTGTATCGCTGCAGAATGCTAAGGTAGCCATGCTGGTTAAGTGTGCCTTGAATTCTAAATAAATCACTGACAGTGTCACCAGCAAAGCACCCCCACACCTCCTCCTCCATGCTTCACGGTGGGAACCACACATGCGGAGATCATCCGTTCACCTACTCTGCGTCTCACAAAGACACAGTGTTTGGAACCAAAAATCTCAAAATCAGACAGATTTCCACCGGTCTAATGTCTATTGCTTGTGTTTCTTGGCCCAAGCAAGTCTCTTCTTCTTATTGGTGTCCTTTAGTAGTGGTTTCTTTGCAGCAATTCGACCATGAAGGCCTGATTCACGCAGTCTCCTCTGAACAGTTGATGTTGAGATGTGTCTGTTACTTGAACTCTGTGAAGCATTTATTTGGGCTGCAATTTATGAGGCTGGTAACTCTTATGAACATCCTCTGCAGCAGAGGTAACTATGGGTCTTCCTTTCCTGTGGCGGTCCTCATGAGAGCCAGTTTCATCACTGGGGCCAAGCTTCCTGCCATTCAGGACCTCTATACCAGGGGGTGTCAGAGGAAGGTCCTAAAAATGGTCAAAGACTCCAGCCACCCTAGTCATAGACTGTTCTCTCTGCTACTGCACGGCAAGCGGTACCAAAGCGCCAAGTCTAGGTCCAAGAAGCTTCTAAACAGCTTCTACCCCCAAGCCATAAGACTCCTGAACATCTAATCAAATGGCTATGCAGACTATTTGCACCATATTTGATGGTTTTTGCGACTGTACTTGAAGAAACTTTAAAAGTTCTTGAAATTTTCAGGATTGACTGACCTTCATGTCTTAAAGTAATGATGGACTGTTGTTTCTCTTTGCTTATTTGAACTGTTCTTGCCATAATATGGACTTGGTCTTTTACCAAATAGGGCTATATTCTGTATACCACCCCTACCCTGCCACAACACAACTGATTGGCTCAAACGCATTAAGAAGGAAAGAAATTCCACAAATTAACTTTTAACAAGGCACACCTGTTAATTGAAATGCATTCCAGGTGACTACCTTATGAAGCTGGTTGAGAGAATGCCAAGAGTGTGCAAAGCTGTCAACAAGGCAAAGGGTGGCTACTTTGAAGAATCTCAAATATAAAATATATTTTGATTTGTTTAACACTTTTTTGGTTACTATATGATTCCATATGTGTTATTTCATAGTTTTGATGTCTTCACTATTATTCTACAATGTAGAAAATACTAAAAATAAAGAAAAACCCTTGAATGAGTAGGTGTGTCCAAACTTTTGACTGGTACTGTATGTTAATAGAAACATTAAGGATTAGAGTAGAACACAGTAGAGTAAAGTAGAGCAGAGTAGATTAGATCAGAGTAGAACGTTTATTAACGTACGTGTAATTTCAATGGCTGATCGGTTGTAGGACCTGTGTGGCCTGTACTGAACAATGGGTTGAAGCTTCTCTCCACTTCCAAACATCTGACTGCAGGGGCGCCAGAGAGAAACAAAACAAGTTACTATATACAATTGAGCAGAGTGAGTCACACACTCACTAACACTTTAACAAGAGCTTGCCTCAGAGTTGTAATCACTTGGTTGACGTTAGATTGAGAATTCATCTTGAATCAGGAAGCTAGCTCCATGACCTGATCTTTTCCTGCCTCTGGGGGATGAGAGGTTGTCTGCCAGTTTTGAGCATTCTTATCTGTATATCCTGAACGGCAACACTGAGTCACCTCTTTAACATAATGAATTCCAGAACAGAGACAGCAGAAAGGAAAGGAGATGGGTTGTTTTGGTGTTGAGGAGAGGAGAGGAGGGGAGCAGAGGAGAGAGGAGCAGAGAGGACTGGTGGAGCAGAGTGGAGAGGATTTTTTTTGGTATTTCTTTCCAACACAGCTGGACTACCTCGGTCTTCAGCAGTAAGACCAGGGATGGTTGTGTTCATTAGGCACCAAACAGAAGAAAACAGACAAACAGGGAGGGACTACCTGGGCTTGTCCAATGAGATAGGCCCATTTTAATTTTCTGTTGAAAACACCACCAAGGTCTCACTGCTGATTTAGTCCAGCTGTTTTCTTCCATTTGGTGCCTAATGAACATGAGCCAGTCAGTACAACCTTGGCAGCCTTGACCTCAGCTGCAGCTGTTGTCAGTGATTATGAGGAAACCAGGCTGCTTTATTGACAAGGTATCCGGATGTACTGAGTAACTATACCCCTGCTTCAACAGGAAATATAACCACTTCCACTGACCAATACACCGTTTCCCCTCACCAACTTCAGGGATCAAAATGCTGAGTAACTTTTAAATCTGTTGCAACATACAATAGACGCTTCTTACTGATGAAACGGAGTGAAGAAAACCACAAAGGCAAAACAGAATTCACTGGAGAAGCACTGTTGAGGCCCTCTGATCTACTAGGAACAAGTCAAGTACCGGTAAGTTACTTGAGGAAGGAAGACTGAGCTTAGCTACACCGTTTCCCTTGACCAACTTAAGAATCAAGTTACTGCGTGACTTCCAGTACTACAACAATGGACAGCAGCACGGTCAAAGTCAATACACTGGGGTTTAAAGTGATCATGATCAGATCATTAAGGTATTGAGGACACCACTAGCTTAGCGTCAGGAACAAGATAAACCAGATGTTACACAGAGTATTTGGGGTACTGTAGTACATCAATGTGCATCTCCTCCTTGTACATCGTCATACAATTAAGATTTTAATATGTGAAGAAGCATGCAAACTTACCCAAAGTGTGTGTCTAGTATCCTGCCTCTCATGCAGATAGCAGCCCAGAGTACTAGCAGCAGGAGACAGAAGCCACACACCACCCCCAGTATGATGTACACAGAGTCTGATCCTCTAGTGTCTGGACTGGAGGAGGGAGCCAGCGGCCAATCTGGAACACAATAGGCAATCAATCAATGATTGAATCAATCAAACAATGAATCAATCAAATCAAAGTATGATCGATTGATAGAACAGAACACACAAACATGATACAGGCATGATATAAACATGATGTCGACATGATCAAAGTTTCAACTCCCTCAACTGTATGTTGTATTTGTATATGTTTTGCTGTATATGTGTGTGTTCTCAGTTTGTGTGTAATTTTGCTACAACCAAATTGCCCTTGAACACCACCGCAGAAGCTTCACTATTCTGCATCTTCCCAATTAAGTAGCCTAGTTTTGTTGTTTGGCTACTTGAAGAGAACTAGGCAGTGGCGTGTATTCATGGATGCCAAGGGAAGCCAGGCTTCCCCAAAACATTGACCAAAAACAAAAACAAAAAACATACACATAATAATTTATCATCTTTCGTCTCTCTGTGTTTCATAATTTTCCTTCAATTCGGAAGAGGTTGAATGTATCTCACCGGAGAAAGCATCCGAGACAGCAAAACAGCGCCCCTCTGTCTCTGTATGTGTAGCATATCTGATACTGTCTGGTCAAAAAGAATATGACATTGTTGCCGTCCATAGCGTTGAATGCAAGGGAAGCCAGCGAGCATTTGGCCTCCCTTGATAAAAAAGTCTACAATTAGCCAATCAGCATTGACCTAAACTAAGTTAGCTCAACTGTGAATGGTCCTGGCGCACCAAAAAAAAGACATCAACAGCAAAACGTAATTGACAGAAGAAACTTGAATTGTTGCATCTCATTGTGTCATTGTCCTTTAGTGGCTAGCTAGCTAGCTAAAATTGTCCCTTTCCTAAATTAGCCATGGATGGAGATAGGGATTTGGACTTCTGGTTTTACCTAATTCTCCGCACTGGCAAGTGATTATAACGGTGATTCTGATCCAACCATAAATTCATACATTGTGCCCCTGGCCTGAGAGGATGGAAGTTCAATATGTAGCTATGTAGTAGGCTAATGTTAATTAGCTGGCTCATCGTTGCGCATGAAAGGAAGTTTGGCTAGCGAGCAAGCATTTTAGCTAGGTAGCCTAGGACAACAAAAACTAAAAGCGTGTACTGTATGACAGAGTGATAGACCGTTTCGTCAACATGAAAGAGAGGAGGATGGCATTGGCGTTTCTCTACAAGTAGGGTGAGTCAACAACTTTCACCCATGCGCGCACACACACACACACATTTTTACATTTACATTTTAGTCATTTAGCAGACACTCTTATCCAGAGCGATTTACAGTTAGTGAGTGCATACATTTACACACACACACACACACACACACACACACAGAAATCAGAACCTTGGACAGTCACATGATATTTAGCTTGCGTTGATTGGACTAAAATGTTTTTGGTATCTTTTAGTTGTCACTGTATTAGACTAAGCAGAGGTGATTTGATGATGTTGAAATGTTGAAGTACTAGACCACTGCACCACTCGGGAGGCTAGGGTGAGTCAACAACTTAAGTAGTACTTTAAAGTATTTTTACTTAAGTACTTTACACCACTTGATTTTACCCACACACCTCTACTGGAACTAGGGCCTATGACTCGCAGCCCACCTCTTCCAATGCATTGTGGAAAAGTGTGCATCGAATTCTACTAGATGAAGAGTCGAAATTAGTACAACATCCTGGCATTTAAACCATACTCAATTTTCAAAAATGCACATACTGTAAAACGTTCTATTTTCGCATACTGAGAATGCGTCATGCGCGATTGCGTTGTTTCACGTTATTGGTTAATTTCAGTAGCACATCCCCACATCTGATTACCAGCTGTTGTCAAAGCCGAAATGAGTATGACATCCAGAAATTTTAAGTATACTAGATTTTAGAAACGTCACATACTATAAAACTTTATTTTTATCGCATACTTATCTGGCCTACTATTTAGGATGCAAGTATGGGTATTCGGACATGGCCAGGTTAAATATCTACTTGCGGTTGTTGACATGCTTATGTACTTCAATATGTATGAAGGTATTAGGATTAGGAGCTACTTATGTAGTGCGGTCTACTCACTGTTCTCTGGTACGAAGATCCCGACCGCTGGACTGAGCATGCCACGCCCAGCCTGAGTACAAGCAGCTACCTGAACACTGTATGTAGTGTTGAACTCCTGTAGGGCCACCGCAGCAGTGTTGGAGGAGCTGCGGATCTGAGGAACACAACAGCATGTTAGAGAGATCATGGTTATACTCAGCAGTTTACAATCATATATCAGTGTTTCTCAAACACACCTATTCAACAGACGCTTATAAGAAATCTGGCTATGCCCGCCGACGAACCATCAAACAGGCGTCAATACAGGACAATACAGGACTAAGATTGAATCGTACTACACTGGCTACGACGCTCGTCGGATGTGGCAGGGCTTGCAAACTATTACGGGCTGCAAAGGGAAGCACAGTCACGAGCTGCCCACTGACACGAGCCTATCAGACGAGCTAAATTACTTCTATGCTCGCTTCGAGGCAAGCAACACTGAAGCATGCAAGAGAGCATCAGCTGTTCCGGACGACTGTGTGATCACGCTCTCCGTAGCCGATGTGAGTAAGACCTTTAAACAGGTCAACATTCACAAGGCCGCAGGGCCAGACGGATTACCAGGACGTGTACTCCGAGCATGTGCTGACCAACTGGCAAGTGTCTTCACTGACATTTTCAACCTGTCCCTGACTGAGTCTGTAATACCAACATGTTTCAAGCAGACCACCATAGTCCCTGTGCCCAAGAACACTAAATGACTACTGACCCGTAGCACTCACGCATGTAGCCATGAAGTGCTTTGAAAGGCTGATCATGGCTTACATCAACACCATTATCCCAGAGACCCTAGACCCACTTCAATTTGCATACCGCCCCAACAGATCCACAGATGATGCAATCTCTATTGCACTCCACACTGCCCTTTCCCACTTGGACAAAAGGAACACCTACGTGAGAATGCTATTCATTGACTACAGCTCAGCGTTCAACACCATAGTGCCCTCAAAGCTCATCACTAAGCTAAGGACCATGGGACTAAACACTTCCCTCTGCAACTGGATCCTGGACTTCCAGACGGGCCGCCCCCAGGTGTTAAGGGTAGGTAACAACACATCTGCCACGCTGATCCTCAACACGGGGGCCCCTCAGGGGTGCGTGCTCAGTCCCCTCCTGTACTCCCTGTTCACCCATGACTGCATGGCCAAGCACGACTCCAACACCATCATTAAGTTTGCCGATGACACAACAGTGGTAGGCCTGATCACCGACAACAATGAGACAGCCTATAGGGAGGAGGTCAGAGATCTGTCCGTGTGGTGCCAGGATAACAACCTCTCCCTCAACGTGATCAAGACAAAGGAGATGATTGTGGACTACAGGAAAAGGAGGACAGAGCAAGCCCCCATTCTCATCGACGGGGCTGTAGTGGAGCAGGTTGAGAGCTTCAAGTTCCTTGGTGTCCACATCACCAACAAACTATCATGGTCCAAACACACCAAGACAGTCGTGAAGAGGGCCCGACAAAGCCTATTCCCCCTCAGGAGACTGAAAAGATTTAGCATGGGTCCTTAACAGCTGCACCATCGAGAGCATCGTGACTGGTTGCATCACCGCCTGGTATGGCAACTGCTCGGCCTACAACCGCAAGGCACTACAGAGGGTAGTGCGTTCGGCCCAGTACATCACTGGGGCCAAGCTTCCTGCCATCCAGGACCTCTATACCAGGCGGTGTCAGAGGAAGGCCCTAAAAATTGCCAAAGACTCCAGCCACCCTAGACATAGACTGTTCTCTCTGCTACCGCACGGCAAGTGGTACCGGAGCGTCAAGTCTAGGTCCAAAAGGCTTCTTAACAGCTTCTACCTCCAAGCCATAAGACTGCTGAACAATTAATCAAATGGCTACCCGGACTATTTGCATTGTCCCCCCCCACCCCACCCCCTCTTTTTACGCTGCTGCTACTCTCTGTTTATTATCTATGCATAGTCACTCTACCTCTACCTACATGTACATATTACCTCAATTACCTCGACTAACCTGTGCCCCCGCACATTGACTCTGTACCGGTACCCCCTGTATATAGCCTCGCTAATGTTATTTTACTGCTGCTCTTTAGTTATTTGTTATTTTTCAATGTTTCTTCTTTTTTTTTTTTTTTTACTTAGCCCTTATTTTTCTTAAACTGCATTGTTGGTTAAGGGCTTGTAAGTAAGCATTTCACTGTAAGGTCTACACCTGTTGTATTCGGCGCATGTGGCAAATAACATTTGATTTAATTTGATCAACTCATACCACTAATCAACTCATCATCAAACCTTTGATTAGTGGAATCAGATGTGTAGTGCTAGGGCAAAAACTAAAATGTCTTCCCAGGAATTAAGAAACACTGTTATAGATACAGAGGTAGGATCTTAATTTGAGCCAGTTTGCTACAGCAGAAAAATTATCCTGCAGCAACAGGAAATGTTAATTATTATGTGGATTATAATCAATGGTTATTTTTTCTTGGGGTTGATGTATTTTTTGTTACGTCAAATCAAGTCTGACTTTTTAAAGTGGAAATTACAAACTTTAGAAGCCTTTTTAAACCTTGAATACACTACAAGTTTGCATTTGCTGCTGTGCATAAAAATTATCAGCAACAAAAGACTGATCAAATTAAGATGCTACATCTGTAGTCTTATCATGTCATGATATATTGCTTGCTTGTTTTTTGCTCTAGATGCGCTTTGAGATTCTATGAAAATACTATAGAAGTTTAATAAATAATTATTATTATTATATGATAGCAAATAATTTACCAATGTAAAACTACAATCTGAACATCACCCAGTAACAGATGGACACCTGGGGAAATTGTCTGTTGTACATACTGTATGCCATTTTTGGATTATAGTGTTTGTAGTGGTCCCTTGAAGTTAATGATTATCTGTGTGAAGTCAAAGCCAGGGAATGATGTCAACCAAATACTATGAAATATATTTGTACTTGTAACCAAAACATTTTTTTGTGTCAAGTAATTGCTGAGCCATTCTGGATGTTTCTAGCTCTGCTAACACTGGGAAGCTGAGAAAAGAGTTTCACACTCAAGAGTTTCAGCAGAGCTCTTATAAAGGGGAAGAAATCAAAGCTTTCTTGACAGGCAGGCTGGTATGTGGACTTGGGGTGAATCCCAAATCACACCCTATTCCTATTCCCTATGTAGTGCACTTCTTTTGACCAGGGCCCATAGGGCTCTGGTCAAGAGTAGTGCACTTAATAGGGAATATGTTACCATTTGGGGCTCAGACATGATCAGCATGGTGTTTACAGAGAGCTGAGAGGGGGATTGTTGGGGAACATGTGACAGTGGACAAGGCCCTTGGTTGCACAACACCACCGCATGGCAACATCTGGGGTTCCTCTCTCACTAGCTAACATGCTGACAGTGGGACTGGCGGCCTGGAAAAACATGGAAGTCACACAGACACATTGTGTACTATCTCTCAACATTTCACACCAGGACTTTTATTTTGGAAACTAAAACTGAACTAGCTAACATGCCGACCGTGTGACTGGTCTGCTGGCCAAAGGCACAGAAAACACACACAAGTTGTACTATGTCACTGACCAAAAACATCTATTATATGTCTAAAAATAGCAATTATACTGTAGCTTGTTGATAGAATAGAGTGGCGTCGAGCAGAGCCGGGTAGAGTAGGGTAGAGTAGAGTAGGGTTGAGTAGAGCAGAGCAGAGTAGGGTTCAGTAGTGTAGAGCAGGGTTCAGTAGAGTAGAGTAGAGTTGAGTAGAGCAGAGTAGAATAGAGTAGGGTTGAGTAGAGCAGAGTAAAGTAGAATATACAACGGATTGGTCTAATCCTGAATGCTGATTGGTTAAAACCGCATTACAGCCGATGTCTATTCCACAAGTTACCACCAGCTAAATCTATTACGTTAAAATGCCTATTTACACTGTTCCATCTCACTTTATAAACTTGATCTCCACTATAAAAAGCATCTAGACATTATCTCACATTTCTTTTTGACTAACATTTAGTTTTCAACAGCGGAGATTTGTATAAACCTTGCTGTCGTGTCTCTCCAACATTTGCAACATTGTTTCAATATTCAAATTCGATCTCCTGCTGTCCCATAGTATTGAACGTGTCGGGAGTCGGGACGAGACAGAAAGGCAGACAGCGTTTCTCAGCCGGTCAAAATCATGAATCAGTTGGCATAATTTCTATGGATATATATTTTTAAAAATCTATTGAAAAAAGGTACAACGAAACGCAGCTAATTTGCAGTCTTTCCAGCTTCAGTTTGAAGTGATTGTGTTACTGTAGCTGTGTTGTTGGCTAGCTCCTCTGAACAACCGTGTGCTGACGAGTTATGGACGTGACTGTAAATTAGCCGTAGTTGGCTAGCTAGCAAGCAAGGGATAAGAACGTTGCCAGCCAGTATGGCAATGGAACATTTACAACAAATGACTAGGTCAGTGTTTGTTGGATATATTGGCACGGCTTGTCGGTCCTCGACTTCGTCTCGGGCCTAACAACACCCGTGCCAATATATCCAACAACCGGCTTCTCTGGCATTATTACTTAAGTAGAGTAGGATTGAGTAGAGTAGGATCGAGTAGAGTAGAGTAGAGTAGGGTTCAGTAGAGTAGAGTAGGGTTGAGTAGAGTACACTCTTAGAAAAAAAAAAGTGCCATCTAGAACCTAAAAGGGTTCTTCGGCTGTCCCCATAGGAGAACCCTTTTTGGTTGCAGGTAGAACTCTTTCGGTTCCAAGTAGAACCCTTTTGAATTCCATGTAGAACCCGTTCCACAGAGAGTTATAAATGGAACCCAAAATAGTTATACCTGGAACCAAAAAGGGTTCTCCTATGGGGAAAGCTGAAGAACCCTTTTGGAACCCTTTTTTCTAAGAGTGTTGAGTAGAGTAAAGTAGAGTTGAGTAGAGTAGGGTTGAGTTGAGTAGAGTAGGTTTGAGTAGAGTAGAGTAGGATTGAGTAGAGTAAAGTAAAGTAGAATTGAGTAGAGTAGGGTTGAGTAGAGTTGAGTAGGTTTGAGTAGAGTAGAGTAGAGTAGGGTTGAGTAGGATTGAGTAGAGTAGAAAAGTAGAATAGTAGAATAAGTTAGGTGTCTTTGTAAGGTGTTTTTGTGAATCCCTCTGTGAATCACTCTGTAAATGACTCTCTTGAACAACACAGCAGTTTGGCTGGTGAAACAGCTGAACAGCTGAGGATACAGGCGCTGGTTCTCACACACACTTACATACACACACACAAGAATTCTCACACACACACACACACACACACACACACACACACACACACACACACACACACACTTCCAGTCACTGATATGTGAATGTTGTTTCTGACCAAGCCTTTGTGTGATGATGACATCATGCAGCCAGTGTTTGACTGGACAGGACCCACATGGGTTATTATACATATCCCTTCATTCACTGGTGTTGTTACAAAGCCATTGTGTGTGGTGATGTGTGATGACGTCAAACTTTGACTGGACAGGGCACATGGTTATTACACATGTATATCTCTGTTTGAGTCCCTATGTAGTGCATTACTTCTAACCAGAGCCCTATGGGACACACTTAGGGCTATGCACTAAATAGAGCAGCCTTTCCTAAGCTTTGATTATTTGAATCAGCTGTGTAGTGTAATGGCAAAAACCAAAACGTTCACCCCTTGGGGTCACCAGGACTGAGTTGGGGATTAGAGAACAGGGTGCCATTTGGGACACAGTCCCTATCTATCTAATGTATTAATTTTCCGTTCACTCCACCAACCAATGACCCATGACTCAGACAGGGACACACATTGCTACACACAGGAGAGTTTACTGTTGACTCAACGGTAGAGAGAAACCCTTTAGTTCAGGACAGAGAATAGGGAAGTTGACCGTCTGTTTTGGTAGAAAGGAACAAGGTCAGAGGCAGGACCAACAATCCACCACATCTCACACACACACACAAACACACACACCACCTGATGAACAAACTGACGGACTATAAATCATATGAACATCTCAGTTCTCAAATCTTGGTACCGAAATCTCAGTATGAAACTGACATTGTTAATATTGAAAGTGCAACACAACCTTTTACAGTAGGCCATCTCAAGTTTCTGCTATTCTAGATCTCACAGAGGCATGGATGAATCAATAGAATAGAATAGAATAAAATATAATTGTTTTTTGAGACCCATGGGGAGATGGACTCAGTGATTGAGAGAGGCAGTGAGCGCCATAGAAAAAGAATGAAAACGTCCGTTCTAATAATCATATTTCTAGGGTGATAGCATCAATGTCTTCCAGGTTCCAGGTGGAGACTCACCTTGTTGACCCGCGTCCCATATGTGACGATGACATCATAACCCGTGAGGATTCCATTGACCCTATCCGGGGGCGGGTCCTTCCATCGGATCACCAGCATTGACTCGTTTAGCATAACAGTCAGGTTACGGGGGTAGACTGACGGTACTGGAGTAACAAAGGGAAGGGAAAGAGAGGGTCACACTCAAATATGATCTTCAATCTTGGAATCTGTGATAATACTCAAATAGAGCTCACATACTACTTTTGCCAAACTCTGGCACATTCGCATTGATGTGAACACTGAAATGTTGATTAATGTGCACGGTCCTTCACGGTTACATCAACATTTTTATATAGGTGGTAATGAAACAAATAATAATAATTTTCGATATGTCTAGTCGTCAAAGAAAATGATTGAGATGAGGCCACATTCGGGTCAACCACTTCTGATGTTTCCCACAGCATGGAAAGATTTCTGTCCGATCTGTAGACTAAAATATCCCCCACAGCGGCTTCAGTTTAGAGAGGTCAGAAGCAGCCCCACCCCGTACTCTACCAACTGCATGCTTTCTCCATGAGACCACTCCTGCTTTTGCTTCCTATGTGGCCTCTCAGGAAGATATACAAAGAAAATATAACAGACATACAGTGCCTTGCAAAAGTATTCACCCCCCTTGGCGTTTTTCCTATTTTGTTGCATTACATCCTGTAATTTAAATGGATTTTTATTTGGATTTCATGTAATGGACATACACAAAATAGTCAAAATTGGTGAAGTGAAATGAAAAAAATTACGGAAAAGTGGTGTGCATATGTATTCACCCCCTTTGCTATGAAGCCCCTAAATAAGTTCTGGTGCAACCAATTACCTTCAGAAGTCACATAATTAGTTAAATAAAGTCCACCTGTGTGCAATCTAAGTGTCACATGATCTGTCACATGATCTCAGTATATATACAGCTGTTCTGAAAGGCCCCAGAGTCTGCAACACCACTAAGCAAGGGGCACCACCAAGCAAGCGGCACCATGAAGACCAAGGAGCTCTCCAAACAGGTCAGGGACAAAGTTGTGGAGAAGTACAGATCAGGGTTGGGTAAAAAATGTTTTATCAAAAACTTTGAACATCCCACGGAGCACCATTAAATCCATTATTAAAAAATGGAAAGAATATGGCACTACAACAAACCTGCCAAGAGAGGAACGCCCACCAAAACTCAGGGACCAGGCAAGGAGGGCATTAATCAGAGAGGCAACAAAGAGACCAAAGATAACCCTGAAGGAGCTGCAAAGCTCCACAGCAGAGATTGGAGTATCTGTCCATAGGACCACTTTAAGCCGTACACTCCACAGAGCTGGGCTTTACGGAAGAGTGGCCAGAAAAAAGCCATTGCTTAAAGAAAAAAATAAGCAAACACGTTTGGTGTTCGCCAAAAGGCATGTGGGAGACTCCCCAAACATATGGAAGAAGGTACTCTGGTCAGATGAGACTAAAATTGAGCTTTTTGGCCATCAAGGAAAACCCTTTGTCTGGCGCAAACCAAACACCTCTCATCACCCCGAGAACACCATCCCCACAGTGAAGCATGGTGGTGGCAGCATCATGCTGTGGGGATGTTTTTCATCGGCAGGGACTGGGAAACTGGTCAAAATTGAAGGAATGATGGATGGAGCTAAATACAGGGAAATTCTTGAGGGAAACCTGTTTCAGTCTTCCAGAGATTTGAGACTGGGACGGAGGTTCACCTTCCAGCAGGACAATGACCCTAAGCATACTGCTAAAGCAACACTCGAGTGGTTTAAGGGGAAACATTTAAATGTCTTGGAATGGCCTAGTAAAAGCCCAGACCTCAATCCAATTGAGAATCTGTGGTATGACTTAAAGATTGCTGTACACCAGCGGAACCCATCCAACTTGAAGGAGCTGGAGCAGTTTTTCCTTGAAGAATGGGCAAAAATCGCAGTGGCTAGATGTGCCAAGCTTATAGAGACATATCCCAAGAGACTTGCAGCTGTAATTGCTGCAAAAGGTGGCTCTACAAAGTATTGACTTTGGGGGGGGGGGGGGTGAATAGTTATGCATGCTCAAGTTTTCAGTTTTTTTGTCTTATTTCTTGTTTGTTTCACAATAAAAAATATTTTGCATCTTCAAAGTGGTAGACATGTTGTGTAAATCAAATGATACAAACCCCCCCCAAAAATGTTTTTAATGCCAGGTTGTAAGCAACAAAATAGGAAAGATGCCAAGGGGGGTGAATACTTTCGCAAGCCACTGTATTCTGGACGTGACGTACATTTCACTAGGGAACCCCCTGTCATGCAAAACATAATATGTACTGTACTTCTAACAATTTCTGATCAATGAAATTAAACTGCTTTCTGAATACTTGATGGGATGAGGGGTCAAGAAAACTAGCTCGGATCCAAACTGAATTGCTCTCTTTCGTGAAGTGAAACAACTGTGAAATGTAACAATTCAATTTGGATCCCCCCAGGCTACAATAGCACAACACACAGCCATGCATCTTATACAGAGGCAGGACCTAACACAGGATCTACAGAATCCCATACAGGCAAGTGCATATGATGTATGCAGTCTTAAGAAGGCAATGACCTGGACAGGATGCTCCTGCGACCTATGTATTCTCTATGCATGAAAACACTACAGAAATCTCCAAACTGACCCATGGCCTGGCTGCAGTATAGCGGATCATGATGTGGCTGAAACGTTGTCACCAATAATTCACATGGGAGCATAGAATGCAGTGTACAGAGTCTCTTTTCACCTTGTATTGAAAATGTATTGATGTCCAGCACCTGCTCAAAGACAATGGGGTTGTGTCCTAAATGGCACCCTATTCCCTACATAGTGCACTACCTTTTACCCGGGCCCATAGATGTTACCCACCTCCTTCTGTAGTGTTGCTCTGGACCCAGGTACTGACTGGTGATTGGCCAAGCTCATTGCTACAGGAAACGCTCATGTTGTACCAGGTCATGGCCTGTAACCCCGGGACATCACTCTGGAACGGAGGAGCTGTAGCGTTGATTATCCTAGCCAGCCTGACCTCTCCCCTCCTTCGGCTCACCTCTTTCACCTTGAAGAGAGCACAGGGAAAAATATAGGTTCTATGTTCATCACAACAGTAGCCTACTGTAGACAGACATTTAGGATATAATTTTCTTACAAAAAGATACATTTGTGCAAAAATATCACAAAGTTGTTTAGGAACAACACTAAACAACCCTTAGGCAGGGCTTCAAATAAACACTGATAAACATTTGTTTGAATTGACAACTGACTGATACTATCAGCAAGTTGTGTATTTGGACTGGTGCTGTCTCTCTGTTGCCTGATGACTCATACTGAATTGAATTCCTCTGCTTTATCTATCACAACATACATTCATTCAGACTGCCATCCTAGAAGTCCTCTCTGCTGACGTCAAAGTGAGGGGCGTTGTACAAAACAAGCCATCAGCGAGTATCAAAGCCAATGACTATTTCAGAAACTGCGCTTTACCCACGTGTTCAGGCTCTGGCCCAACCCATCGGTTTCTGGGACCAATCAAAACGGTTTGAATGTGTTCGCATTCGAGAAGTCATCAGGTAGGAGATCAAATCCAGACTTATCGTGGAAAAGAAACGTTAGTGGGCGTGGCGTTTGGCCGGAGCACTGTGGATGGGTAGCCAGGCTAGTCTCTCTGTGTCATCATACACTATCTAGGCAGAGAGTGTGGAGCTTTGCTTACCCTGATCTGGCAGGTAGTGAGTGGGGAGAATCCATCGTGTCCAGGGGTCCATCTCAGAACAAGTTTGTTAGATTCACGTTGTATCACTGTGACCTCAGAGACAGGAGCTGGAAGCACTGCAAACATACCAAACACAATCCATCATCACGAGAGAAGGAGCATTAGAATCATCTTTATTTGCCAAGTACATTTACATGAACTAGAACATTTACCTGAAATGGTGCTGCCAGAATAAACAGAATATACAGACAGAATATATTGATGATTATAAAGTGGGTGGTTCGAGCCCTAAAAGCTGATTGGCTGACAGCCGTGGTATATCAGACCATATACCACAGGTATGACAAAACATGTATTTTTACTGCTCTAACTACGTTGGTGACCAGTTTATAATAACATTAAGGCACCTCTGGGGTTTGTGGTATATAGGCCATATACCACACCCCCTCTGCCTTATTGTTTAAATAGAATCCCCATACACAATAAATACAGCCAAAACAGCAATCCATAAGTTAACAAAGAAAACCAAAAAACACCCGAGCAGCGACCTAACACCGTGGCTGCCTCACCGGGCACCACCCACTGAGATATAAGGCACTATAAGGCACTATTATTGCTCAGACAGCTTGACGTGTCTGAATGTGCACTCAAAAAGATCAAATCCCATATTCACAAAACATCTCAGAGTAGGAGTGCTGAACTAGGATGATCTCCCCTGTCCATGTTATCTTATTCAATCAGTTCAAAGTGTGGGAGGAGACTTTGGAGTCCACATTACCTTTAATGTTGACGTTTGCTTCCCTGGAAGTAGTGACACCTTTCTGGTTGTGGGCCTCACAGCTGAATTGGGTATACTTGTCCACACCTACAGACAAAAACATAACACAGCAGAACATGTTAACTGAATTGTACAGAAGGATAAGGTAATGGAACACGTTTTATAATGATAATGCTTCCAATGTAAAGTTGAACTTTGTGTATAACCAAATAAAAGTATGGTGGAGTAGTAGTGTGTGTCCTTATTCATCTCTTCAAGTTCAACTTGGTGAACTCAACCACTGAAATGTTTCAATTGAAACTTTTACAAACAATACATTTATCATGGGCATACAGTACAGAAACTACTACAAGGCAATAGAAAGTAAGTCAAGGTCTTGATAACGTTCATGCCGCTACCAACTACCACACAAACAGAAACCAATTTTCATATTGTGTCAGCTGCAAAATTCACATATCAAAAAAAGTGATACAAGCCAACTAAAGCCACTTTTTCATTTCACTCCCTTCCACTTAACTCCTGAAAGTAGATGTCACTTATAATAGTTTACCATTAGCAGAATACAGGGCTACATGTACTGTAGTGGGTAAAGTGTTAGGCCATGAAAAAGGCTGATGAGAGCTGTGTCAGCTTGATAGGGGGAAGAGCTTCAGTCCCAAGTAGGCCTAAAGAGAATTAGTGATGTGAGTGGTTGAGTGGTTTGTTGTGAGTGTGAGATAAAACACTGTAAACCACATTCATCCTTGAATCATCCTTTTTAGAACATAGGCCTAGTACCTACATATAGAGAGTCAAGTGTCATGTTAGTTGGCGAGTAAAGTGTCAGGTTAGATTATAGCAGTACCTCAACAATAAACAAAACTTTTGCATCTTTCCACTTTGCAATCGCTTCTGCACTACTAGAGTCCAGACTGGACCAATGGCATCTCTCTCAATGCCTGGGTTCTTTCCCCTGGCTACCACCACACAGTCCCAGTGTTTAAACCCTGCATCTACCCAGCGTAGGCCTGCTCCATATAATGTCCCTTTTGTGTTGTTTTTTTCCACACTGTCCAGTGTTTCATGCTTGGAAACCTTTTCCACAACAATGTACTGTTTGCTCTGCCTTCAAGCTCGGAAATCGTTCCACAATGCACTGCTTGCTCTGCCCATGAGAGCTGACTGGAACTGGAAACAGCTTGGCTTGTTGTTGTTTAAATTTTTCGGAATATCAAATTAATGTGTTCTGTACTGTACCCTCACTGTGATTCTACATTAGCCTTTACCAATTTAAACTTATACCACCACCATACAACAGACTTTTAGACTGCTGAAGCAAGTACACACATTTTCTTCAGGACATTTACCTTTTCTAGTTTTGTTTACTTTCCTCTGAATATCTAATGAGCCTGTTGTCTTGGTGAGGTGTAGAGACATGAAGTACAGAGTATAATGGGTAATGTACACTCTTAGAAAAAAGGGTTCTAAAAGGGTTCTTCGGCTGTCCCCATAGGAGAACCCTTTCTGGTTCCAGGTAGAACCCTTTTGGGTTCAATGAAAAACCCTCTGTAGAAATATATCCAACAAACACCGGCTTCGAGGGCATTATCACTTTTATACAACGGGTTACCAACATATTCAAATAATGATTTTCATTAAAAACATTATTTTGATAAATGTATTCGTACTATTTCATCCTTCCACAAGATATAGTCCCGACACAAATCTAGGGTTGCTAGAGACACGACCCAGTCGTTCCTTCTTTTTGTTCCCTTGCCATACTGACTGGCAACGTTCTTATCCCTTGCTTGCTAGCTAACCAACTACGGCTAATTTACAGTCGCGTCAAAAAGTGCAGCCAGAATAACAGCAAAGTAGCTGCATTTGCATTTGTTTAAGCTGTTTTCTAGTTAGATTTATTTGGATACATCCATAACAATGAGCTTATGATGCGCGACTTTGCCTGCTCACTGTTCAGTCAAAAGAAAGACAATCCATGACATTCATTTGAGCTGATTTTAATAAATTAAACCGTACATTCTCTTTATTATCCACCACAGCTGAAAAAGCTATAGCTACTTATTGTATGTCACATTTATCTGTACATTCCCCTGGATGGTGCATTGGTTGAAATATCTGTCGGAGTCTGTGCTTCTACTTCTGCTGCCTTGCTTCAGCCTTTTGGGTGTTGATGGTGCTGCAGTGTTCTCTTTGCCACATCTGTCTCGTTAGGGTATGGAGCCTCTCACTCAGTTATCAAGGCAGTCAAACATTGACATTTTAAACAAGTGAGTTTCAAAAGTACTGAAGCTTACCTCCTAAGCCCATTATACGGTCTACATAAATACCTACAAATCCTTTATAAACTAAAACCTTATGTTTTGGTAAAACTATGATCAAAGTTTTGACATCTCTCAAAGTCACATGATCTCTCTCATGTTTACTCAGAGTTACTAAATACTTCCAGCAGGATTGAAGCTGTTCAAAAAGACAAATAAACTAACCTCCCATTACAAACTGAGAGAGGCTGTAGACAAGCCAGCATACGGTCACAGAGAGAGAGAGAGAGAGAGAGAGAGAGAGAGAGAGAGAGAGAGAGAGAGAGAGAGAGAGAGAGAGAGAGAGAGAAAGAGTTACTCAGTCTATGATACTGGTTTTATAGAGCAGAAAAGGCTTTTTTGGCAAACCAAAGTTTAAGTCTATTTCAGGCAACAGCGAAAGAGCCAAATCTAGTAAACAACAACCAAGCTTCCAGCTTCCCTTTCTAGAGAAGACATTGTGTGTAAGTCCCAAATGGCACCCCATTCCCTATTTAGTGCATTACGTTTGACCAGAGTCCTATGGCCCTGGTGAAAAGTAATTCACTATAAAGGGAATGGGGTGCCATTTGGGACACATACAGAGAAGAAACAGCGTCTTTCAGAGGGCCTTTCAACTCACAGATCATTCAATAAGTACTAAAGAGTCCAAATAAAAAGACAACACACGAAGCAAAAGGTCAGACACTTGCTCTTCACACCCACTCCATTTATTGGTGGCGGTCCTAGACAACTCCTGCAGCTCAAAACAGAATCTCTTGAGACTTGCAAGTGACCATTCCAACTAAAAGGCTAACAACATTGAAACTGGTTTAGTGGATACCGGTAAATGCATAGCGAGAGTGAGTGGGCTGAAATGCATATAGAGAGTGAGTGGGCTGGAGTGAGCCAAAACTGTGTTCAAATACTATTTGAAATCTTTCAAATACTTTTAGCATTGCTTTAGTCTGCCTAGAGTGCCAAATGGACAGGGATTTGCACTTTTGCGACTATTCTATTGGTTCCATTTAGTCAGGCAACCTCAATCAAGCCCAGATGTATGATCTCTCTATAACCAGCGAGCCAAATGTATGATCTCTCTGTAACTAGCCCTGGAAGTATTGCATTGCGGTTCCAAGTCCAACAAACAGTGTGTAATTATCCGGTTTGGCAAGGTTCCATTCTATTTCTATGGTTCCATTCTACCAGGCTTTCACTGCTGAACTGACCTGGTTGCAGAACAACCTCATATAGCCCAGTATGAGACCCAAATGGCACTCTATTCTCTATATAGTGCACTACTTTTGACCAGGTTCCACTGGGTTGTGGTCAAAAGGAGTACACTTGGGGACACACATCTCAGATATTTTCTTCTGCTCTTTTTTATATCAATGCATCACATTTTGCCCCCGATTTCTTTTTCAATTTTCGACTGAAGTAGCCTATTCCATTCCATCTTTGAATACACTGTAACATATTTGTTCCCTTTGTGCTCTGAGGAGATTGTGGGCATGTAATGTGGCCATGGTCTGACCCTGTACTGTGCCTCTGGGGACTAAGTTTGTAAATCATTATGTAACATGTATTGTTCTGGGAGAGAACAGTGGCTGACTGGACTTTAATATACAGAAAGGAAAATGGTCCGTATTTGAGGGAGGAAAGGCTACCCATAACAACAGTAGGCTACCACCCTAGTAACAAAAGCTGAACAGGCCCAAACTTCAATCAGAATCAGAATCGAGTCAGAAAAGGAAAGGAAACTGGTCAGTGTTAGTGGGAGGAAAGGCTACCCGTAACATCCAGAGATGTGGATGTAAGTAAACCCTGCCAGCCTGCAGCCAGGCAGTCCCCAGCCAGCTCCCCTTTAAATCCCCTCCCTGTAAAGCAGAGCGGGGTGGTGGGCCGTCCCGTGAATGAGGCCTTTGTCCAGGGAGCCATCCCCCGATCCGTCTATCTCCTCTACAACCCCCATCACACACACACACACACGCTCACAACCCCAGCCATGTCACACACTAGGAAAAAGCACAACTCTGGCCTCTAACCCTTCACCTCCCAGCCAGTAGCCCCACAACTCACCACTGTGTCTAGACTACTAAAGGCCCCACAACTTACCACTGTGTCTAGACTACTAAAGGCCCCACAACTCACCACTGTGTCTAGACTACTAAAGGCCCCACAACTCACCACTGTGTCTAGACTACTAAAGGCCCCACAACTCACCACTGTGTCTAGACTACTAAAGGCCCCACAACTCACCACTGTATCTTTGAAAGACAGGGTCCTGAAAAAGGGAAGTTTATTTTTTTGCTGAGTTTATTTTCTCTGAGTTATGTTCACCAAGGGTGACAAAAAACTGTCCTAAATCAATTTAGAACTGGACCGGAGAGGCCAACCCACCTCTCCAGTCTGACCAGAGGGATATCGTGGTCAACAGTGTCGAATGCAGCACTTCAATCCAAGGATACAAGGACAGATAGCTGTTTGACATCTGTGTTGGCAATAAGATAATTTACCACTTTAATTAAGGCTGTCTTTGTGCTGTGGTGGGCACAAAAACCAGATTTGAATTTTTCAAAAATACAGTTGGCACTTTAAAAAATAATTTAGCTGTTTGAAAACCAATTTCTCAAGAATTTTGCTTAAGAATGGAAGGTTGGAGATTGGCCGAAAATTGCTAAGAGCTGAAGAATATAAATTACTTTTCTTCAGAAGGGGTTTCACCATATAAGTTTTTAGTGCAGTGAGGAAAGTGCCTGTAAACAGGGAGTGATTAACAATAGCTTGCACTTCTTCAGATATGCAATTAAAAACAGTTTTGAAGAAGGTGGTGGGGACAGGAACGAGAAGGCAGGTGGAAGACTTAAGTTTTGATATCACTTTCCTGAGCATGTCTGTGTCAACCAGGGAAAGTAACTCCATAGTGCCTTTGCGTGGTCTAAGGCACATATCATCAAACTTCTCATCAGGTCTTTCTTGACTGATACCCAGCCTAATGTTTGTTATCTTATCTCTGAAATATGCCACAAACTCATCACATTTAGATGTGGAGGAAAGTTCACATAGGTTTGCGGGGGTAGGATTTATCAGGCCATCAATTGTCGAGAAGAGCACTCTCGATTTATTCTGATTATTAGTGATCAAGTTAGAAACATTTCCCCATCTGGCATTTCTAATTGCCTTGTTATATATGCCAAGTTGCTTTCTCAGAATATTATAATGTCCTGCAACTTTGACTTTCTCCACTTCTACTCTGCAATTTCTCTTTAGTAGATTTGTTTCCTCAGTCATCCAAGGGGCTCTCCGTTTGGATGTGGCCCTTTTCAACCTTACTAGAGTTATGGCATCAATGGTTGCCCTTAATTTGCTATTAAAGTTATCAACTAAATCATCATAAGAAGAAGGCAGAATAGGTGATGGTGTATTGTTCATACACTCAATAAAATCTGTAGCAACTTCAGAGGTAAGAAGCGTTTCTTAATAATGTGTTCAGTATTACCCTATGGGCAACAAAGGTAGTAAAAAAATACACAGTGGTGATCAGATAAAGTAACATCAATAATAGAGGATATGTCTGAAGACAGCCATGTTTCAGTGAGTAATCATTATGAGGTAATTCATGAGAAAGGTTTTACTAGTGATTGCTATAACATTTAAAAGCGCCATATTCAATGCTCTGCCCCTGGGGCATCTGCCTCGAGGTAACCAATGGAATAACAACCAAATAATTAACGTTACAACAATGTTTTCTGACAGTCTCCAATCTATCAGAATGGTAGGATATGACTGTTTGTATAAACTCACTAGAAGGCAGAGTTAGAAGAACATAAATGAGCCTATTCACAATAACTATAGTGCCATTTCTATAGGAGTTGATATGGTTTCCAAGTCCTCTGTTGCTTATTCTGACAGGGAGAACTTGAGCGCTACCAGACCCTGTTAGTGCTGGGTGATTTGAAAAGCCATAGTCAATCGATCAATAATATAATAATACACTTAGTAAAAATGTTCCTCTTTAATTTAGAATCTGTAGAAATTATGAGAACAGAAAGGTTCAGAACTTTTGTGAAACTTCACAGAACAGTTGAAAAAATAAGTTGGAAGTAGAAGTCTAAGAATTGTTGTCCATTAGTTTACTCCAAGTAGAGGAGGGGTGGTAGGGTTAGGGGAAAATACAATTAAATATGGGTGATTGGAAATGATGCAAACAATTACATTGATAGAACCCACAATCTATATGCAATATTAAAGCTGATCTACCGGTAATTAAAGAATGCTTTGCCCCAGGGCACCAAGTAAATTAGCTGCTGTAAATTGCATAGAGCCAATGTTGTGTTTTCACATTGAAGAGAGGTGTTTGTCTGTGGGAGAACCTAAAGGAGGCATGTAACTTAAAGTTTTATGCTCACAACACTGCTCAAGCTTCAAGATATTTATTACTAATCATTAAGGCCCCTTTAGGTGTTTTGGAGCATTTCAATGGTGCAGTCTCCACTCTGTCAGTCCAGGATTCAAATCATAACTAACTTAGCAAATATCCAGGCCAAAATGTTAAAGCTTTACTCAGTCTTTTTGACACGCAACACATGCCCATTCATCAAACCACACAAACCATTCTCCTTGCACAAAAAGCTTATCTTGACCCCTGACAGTATCAGATTCCTCCCCACCAAGACTAACTGAAAGGATCCATTTCCCCCAATAACCAACATGGTTATCTTAGATTACAGTCCACACATACAGACACACACACACAGGCATTGTTAAAGCATGAGTGAGTCCGGTTGAAAGTGGTCAGCTATTCAGCAGTGTAACCCAGGGGGCCCACGGTGACAGTGAACATGGTGATACATCTCTATGTGGTAGCAGGACAGAGAGGGAGAAAGGGGGGATAGTGCAGAGAGAGAGAGAGAGAGAGAGAGAGAGAGAGAGAGAGAGAGAGAGAGAGACTGTATGAAACACACAGAGACAAAAAGAGAGAGAGGAAAATGGAGAGCAGAGGGAGAGAGAAAGAGATGGGGGAAAGAGAGAGGAGTGGGTATAGAGAGAAAGAGATTGGGGGGAACGAGAGAGTGGGGAGAGAGAGAAAGAGATGGGGGAAAGAAGAAGAGAGGGGGAGAGAGAGAGAGATGGGGAAAGAGGAAGGGGAGAGAGAGAGAGATGGGGGAAAGAGAGAGTGGGAGAGAGAAAGAGATGGGGGAAGAGTGGGAGGAGTGGGAAGGAGAGAAGAAAGAGATGGGGGCAAGAGAGATGGGGGAGAGAAGAGAGGGAAGAGAGAGGGGAGAGAGAGAGAGAAAGAGATGGGGGAAAGAGAGAGTGGGAGAGAGAGAAAGAGATGGGGGAAAGAGAGAGTGGGAGAGAGAGAAAGAGATGGGGGAAAGAGAGAGTGGGAGAGAGAGAAAGAGATGGGGAAAGAGAGAGTGGGAGAGAGAGAAAGGGAGAAACAGACGCTGAGGCTGCAGATAGACTGACACCACAGTATTCAGACCTCCAACACATCTCTGCTACAGCTGAGTAGGACACAGCTCTGCACATTTTACACCAATCACACACACACACACACACCACACAAACACTGACACGAATGTCCTTTACCATCTCTTCTGAATAACAAAATGTGCCAGACTGCCAGGACATTCAGTGATATGAAGAAACCGTATTCCCTCCATAAACCACAACACAAGTTCATCTTGGTCCTCCTACTCTCTTTCAGTCTTACTTTCTCTATATATCTCTATATATCTATCTCTCTATATATATATATTTTTTTCTTACATGAAACAATTAACTTTAATGAAATAACAAGGTAATTTACTTCAGATAAGGTGAAAAAATGGTTAATCAATAACATTCACACAGAACAAAACATTTCCCTTAATAGACCTATGCACTCATTTCCTTTAGGACTTGGGGGAAAAAACCCAACTCAACATTGCAAAATATAACATGACCTACATGTGGCGTTATAAAGGAGAGATTCAGGTGAGCTGCTAAGATCCCTATTCAATCAACGTCTATGTATTAGCCAATGACCTGAATTCAAAGTTTAGAGAAATCGGCAAAGCGTGGAGTGGAATTCCACTTTCTTTCTTTTAAGAGGTTTTCTAGGCCTTAGGAGAGAGGCTAAGGGTGTGTCCCAAATAGCACCATATTCCCTATGTAGTGCACCACTTTAGACCAGAGGCTCTGGTCAAAGGTAGTGCACTTTATAGGGAATAGGGTGTCATTTGTGATGCAAACTAAGATGATGGAGCAATAGAACAATACAATACACCTCCAGACTCTATGTGAAACCCAGAAAGAGGTACTGAGATAATATTGGCAGCCACAGTTCAATACTTCATATGAAAGCAAGAGATTGTATGTGCATATGTGTGTATGTGCATGTGTGTATGTGCATATGTGTGTATGTGCATGTGTGTGTGCATGTCTACGCACGCGTGTGTGCTCATCTGTGCATGCGCCTGTGCATGTGCCCGTGTGTGTATGTGTGTGCGTGTGTGTGCGCGTGTCTCTCTCTCACCTGCTACAGTGTAGTTGCTGGGGGAGGGCGTAACGTACCCCATCTCAGACACTCCATTGCGTAGCCAGTGGATCATGATAGGATTCGGGGGACCCACCGCTTCACACGACAGGTTAAAGGGGCTGTTACGAGTTACGTTCCTGTCATCTGGCTGTCTGGTGAACGTTGGTAGACCTAAAAACACACACAGACAAACAGAGTACATGTTTGAGATCGACTACATTGCAGTCAGGCTATGCAGAATCCCCTTTCATCACAAATAACTACTTATTATGATCAGTGATTCTACGCCTCATCTTGCTCAAACTGATCCCCTAAAACACACAGTATATTGGAACCAGTCATGGAAAACCTTGTCATCCATTTAATGCACTCGTATGATGTTGGGACTCACCTTCGACCTGGATGCTGATAGGCTGGGACTCTATCACTTTGTCATTGACTCTCAGTCTACAGCGGTAGTCCCCAGCGTCAGCTCTCTGCACACGAGTTATGCTGAGACACACAAGTAGTGGAAAAATTTAGCAACCAGACATTTCAGAACTTTTTCACCTGATTTATCATACTGATTCCACTCTCTGTGTCTTTTTGTGTTTGTTTTTCTATGCTCTGACGAAGGTCGATTGTGACCGAAAGCTTGGCAGTTTAACTTTAAAAAATGGCAAGGATCTAAGTATCCAAATGCTATTTTCTTCACGTGCTGTGTCTGCCAAGAATGTCCCCTGCTCCCACTCCAATGCTCCGGTCACAGTTACCTGACGGTGGACAGTAGGGTCATGATCCCGTGTGTGACGGTCTGTAGTTCGTTGATGACCACCTGCAGGTTTTCAGCCAGCTCCATGTTGTTCTTCCTCCACAGCACGGTGAGGTCCAGGTTGGCGTCAGGGACGTCGATGGAGCAGTTGAACTTGGCCTCGTGGCCCTCGGATAGGTGCACTGACCCCACCGTGGGCTTGAACCTGGGTGGAATCAAATAGAATAGAATTGAGTTGAATTAAATGGGAGTTGAGTTGAGTTGAATGTTGTTGAATTTTACAGTTGCAACTGAAATATTAAATCAGTAAGATGTGCATTTGAACCTCAGAGGATAGCACATGCATTGATTAATACAAATACATATTTCCAAAGGGGTTCTGAATGGTAAAACAAATAACATCTACAGTGCTATGAAAAAGTATTTGCCCCCTTTCTAATTTTCTCTACTTTTGCATATTTGTGATACTGAATGTTATCAGATCTTCAACCAAAACCTAATATTAGATAAAGGGAACGTAAGTGAACAAATAACACAACAATTACATATTTATTTCATAAACAAAGTTATGCAACACCCAATTCCCCTGTGTGAAAAAGTAATTGCCCCCTTACACTCAATAACTGGTTGTGCCACCTTTAGCTGCATTGACTCCTACCAAATACTTCCTGTAGTTGTTGATCAGTCTCTCACGTCGCTGTGGAGGAATTTTGGCCCACTCTTCCATGCAGAACTGCTTTAACTCAGTGACGTGTGGGTTTTCAAGCATGAACTGCTCGTTTCAAGTCCTGCCACAACATCTCAATTGGGATTAGGTCTGGACTTTGACTAGGCAATTCCTGGAAGACTTGCCTTAATAGAAGGAACCATGAATTTTAAGAGGACTAGAGGCCTAGTCAAAGTCCAGACCTAATCCCAATTGAGATGTTGTGGCAGGACTTGAAACGAGCAGTTCATGCTTGAAAACCCACACGTCAGTGAGTTAAAGCAGTTCTGCATGGAAGAGTGGGCCAAAATTCCTAAACAGCGACGTGAAAGACTGATCAACAACTACAGGAAGCATTTGGTTGGAGTCATTGCAGCTAAAGGTGGCACAATCAGTTATTGAGTGTAAGGGGGCAATTACTTTTTCACACAGGGGAATTGGGTGTTGCATAACTTTGTTTATGAAATAAATATGTAATTGTTGTGATATTTGTCCACTTATGTTCCCTTTATCTAATATTAGGTTTTGGTTGAAGATCTGATAACATTCAGTATCACAAATATGCAAAAGTAGAGAAAATTAGAAAGGGGGCAAATACTTTTTCATAGCACTGTACCTAATGATGATATTAAAAAGACAACAAGAAAAAGTTACAACCCCAACAATACAAACAAGTTATTGATAGATAGTAACCTCAGCTTCCTGATGTCGGTTTGGCTGAGCTGGACCCTCGGGGCATGGGCTGGTATGATGAGGGTCTCGGGGGGTACGGTGGGCTGGGGGGACCGACCCTGACGTCCTGGCATGCGGGGAGAGACCCCGCCACGGCCAAGTCCTCCAGAGACACGGTAACCATAGGGACTCCCATGATGCTCAGCTGTATGTGAGCAGGAAGGGACGGTCATTTCCAAACGCCTGTTACAGTATTATAGAGCTTCTCTGTCATTTCTCCTACCTTAGATCAATAGTCAATACCTGTATATACTGCATTTCTCACAAAAACAAAAAACACCAAATAACTTCACAGGGGGATTGGAGAATAATCTGCAATTGAAACTAGTGTTTCAGTTCCCTACATTTACTCTTTTGCCCTCAGAGTTGGAACTACTCAAATGATTCAAGCCACCCTGATTAGCCTAACTCAAATGGAAACAAACTGTATTGAGACTGTATAGGAGGAGGTGGAACAGTTCATTTGTTAATTTGATATTCAATACCACTCTGCATTTGTTTCTCCCTCTCCCTGTCTAAGCAGAGGAATCTCCCAAATATCTGGAGTATTTCAGTAATATTCCAGGTCCTCCCTTGGATATCTCAGCCAAGTGATATTCGTATAGCCTAATCCCAGATCTGTTTATCCTGTCTTGCCTAGACAGCAAAAAACGGATATGTGAGGAGCCAAATATTTGTATGGCCATATCCTAATAAAATCTCAAGACAGGCTACTGCCACTTAGCCAGGTCCCAGATCTGTTTTTGCTGTCTTGCAAACTCCTATGGTCATACTCAAGTTCAACAACCAGCACAGATCTAGGACCAGGCTAACCCTTACAACAACAAAAAAACATGAATAAAATCATGTGAAAAAAACACCTTCCAATTTCACACGTGAACAAATCAAGTGAAAATGTTAATGTAAAAAAAACAAATACATTTATTTGTTGAGATTTTCAGTCAGAGACATGTAGTTTTCGGACACGTGTGAAGTTTCACATGTAAAAATTGTATATGTGCTTTTCCATCGTGATTTTTTTTTTGACCACGTGACAATTTTTGGGGGAAATTTTTTTCACCACTTCCAGCTACATCTGGTCTCCCATCCAGGGACCAACCCTGCTTACCTTCTGAGGCAAACTAGCAGTGCTATGTTGCTAGTATGAATGTGCCAAAACTTGCAACTGGAAAAAAGGCAGCTAAGGCCAGGGTAACATAACCAAAGATAGGGAAAATTGCAGGAAAGAGGAAAGAGGGATGTGTTTTATTTAATCGCGTTATCCCCCCCAAAAATCACGTAAAACAATTTTTTTGCATTAATTTACAATTCATTTGTTCTCACATTTTGAAATGATTTCCTTGCAATATTTTGTTTTGCTATCAATACTTTGGGGTTTATGTTTTGCTTTCAATATAATTATTTTTGTTTGCAACATGTTAACATCATCTCATGTGAGGAGAATAACATTATTTCAACACCAGATTTTAAAGCTGCTAATTTGATTTTTACGTGATTGTTTTTCACATGTGAACATGAAATTCTACAGTTGAAGTCGGAAGTTGACATACACTTAGGTTGGAGTCATTAAAACTCGTTTTTCAACCACTCCACAAATGTCTTGTTAACAAACTATAGTTTTGGCAAGTCGGTAAGGACATCTACTTTGTGAATGACACAAGTAATTTTCCCAACAATTGTTTACAGACAGATTATTTCACCGTATCACAATTTGAGTGGGTCAGAAGTTTTTCAACCACTCCACATACACTAAGTTGACTGTGCCTTTAAACAGCTTGGAAAATTCCAGAAAATGATGTCATGGCTTTAGAAGCTTCTGATAGGCTAATTGACATCATTTGAGTCAATTGGAGGTGTACCTGTGGATGTATTTCAAGGCCTACCTTCAAACTCAGTGCTTCTTTGCTTGACATCATGGGAAAATGAAATGAAATCAGCCAAGACCTCAGAAAAAAAAATTGTAGACCTCCACAAGTCTGGTTCATCCTTGGGAGCAATTTCCAAACGCCTGAAGGTACCACGTTCATCTGTGCAAACAATAGTACGCAAGTATAAACACCATGGGACCACGCAGCCGTCATACCGCTCAGGAAGGAGACGCTTTCTGTCTCCTAGAGATGAACGTACTTTGGTGCGAAAAGTGCAAATCAATCCCAGAACAACAGCAAAGGACCTTGTGAAGATGCTGGAGGAAACAGGTACAAAAGTATCCATATCCACAGTAAAGGAGTCCTATATCGACATAACCTGAAAGGCCGCTCAGCAAGGAAGAAGCCACTGCTCCAAAACCGCCATAAAAAGCCAGACTACGGTTTGCAACTGCACATGGGGACAAATATCGTACTTTTTGGAGAAATGTCCTCTGGTCTGATGAAACAAAAATAGAACTGTTTGGCCATAATGACCATCGTTATGTTTGGAGGAAAAAGGGGGTTGCTTGCAAGCCGAAGAACACCATCCCAACTGAGAAGCACGGGGGTGGCAGCATCGTGCTGTGGGGGTGCTTTGCTGCAGGAGGGACTGGTGCACTTCACAAAATAGATGGCATCATGAGGAAGGAAAATTATGTGGATATATTGAAGCAACATCTCAAGACATCAGTTAGGAAGTTAAAGCTTGGTCGCAAATGGGTCTTCCAAATGGACAATGACCCCAAGCATACTTCCAAAGTTGTGGCGAAATGGCTTAAGGACAACAAAGTCATGGTACTGGAGTGGCCATCACAATGACAAGACCTCAATCCTATAGAAAATGTGTAGGCAGAACTGAAAAAGCGTGTGCGAGCAAGGAGGCCTACAAACCTGACTCAGTTACACCAGCTCGGTCAGGAGGAATGGGCCAAAATTCACCCAACTTATTGTGGGAAGCTTGTGGAAGGCTATCCGAAACGTTTGACCCAAGTTAAACAATTTAAAGGCAATGCTACCAAATACTAATTTAGTGTATGTAAACTTCTGACCCACTGGGAATGTGATGAAAGAAATTAAAGCTGAAATAAATTATTCTCTCTACTATTATTGTCACGAACTCTGATGCGGATGTGGTGCGAATCAATAGCAGGACACAGGAGCTCAGGAAATCCAGACTTTACTAGAAAATCCAAAAATCATAACACGGGTCAAACAACCCGGAGGCGAAACATACGCCACAGTGCGTAAAACACTCCCAAACCGAACTGCGCACGAACAATAGTGCGACGGTAAAACAAAGAGAGTCTAGCAAACAGCACTGCACCAAACGACAGGAAAACAATTACACACAACACATGACAAACAAATGGAACTATATATATGGTACATAATCACACTAACAGGGAACAGGTGCACAACAACTAGACAAAACCAAACGAACATCGAAAACATCCAACGGTGGCAGCTAGTACTCCGGAGACGACGCCCGCCGAAGCCTGCCCGAGCAAGGAGGAGGAGCAGCCTCGGCCGAAACCGTGACAATTATTCAGACATTTCACATTCTTAAAATAAAGTGGTGATCCTAACTGACCAAAGACAGGGACTTTTTACTAAGATTAAATGTCAGGAATTGTGAAAAACCGAGTTTAAACGTATTTGGATAAGGTGTATGTAAACTTCCGACTTCAACTGTATATGTCAAAGTGAGATTCACATGTGAAAGTGTTACATTTAGCAGACGCTCTTATCCAGAGCGACTTACATGAGCAATTAGGGTTAAGTGCCTTGCTCAAGGGCACATCGACAGATTTTTCACCTAGTCGGCTCGGGGATTAGAACCAGCGACCTTTCGGTTACTGGCACAATGCTCTTAACCACTAAGCTACCTGCCGCCGAAACTGCATATCCAATTTTCACATGTGAAAGTTTTTAACATGTGAAACAACAATTTCCTCGCATGTGAAAAGGTGGTGTTAACATGTGAACTCTAAATTTATACATGTGAATATATGGTTTCATGTGTGAAATTTAAGCTCATAAAAACTTTTTTTAAGGGAACTGACACCAGCTTTCACTGGGACAGAGAGGAAGGAGGAAATACCAGCAGTTCAGAGTTTAAATAATCTGTTATCAGAGGAAGCAAACTGTTCTGCCTCCCTGGAAGCAATGGTCCACTGTGTTAGTAACAGGCCAAACCTGTTCTCTCACTTCTCCTCTACACACACAGTGTCATAGGCTACATACCCTACATATACCTAGAGAAGGGGGTGAAAATAGATACAGTAGAGTATCACAATATTATTTTTGTAGATTTTATATTGATACTGTGAGTCCAATAATCGATTTGTAAAAATAGAAGAAAAATAATAATAATAATAATATATATATATATATATATATATATATATATATATATTTATTTATATATTTTTGCTAGGTATTTAACGTTAGCTAGCGCTAGTTGGGTGTACCTGCGCCAAACCTCTGGTATATTTCTCATCCTATAGCTCAGGGGTACTCAACTCTTACCCTACAAGGTCCAGAGCCTGCTGGTTTTCGGTTCTACCTGATAACTACTGTGTATACATGTTAAACATGAGAGGAGGAGAATAAAAGAGGGATTCATCTATTCAGCACTGGACAAACTCCTTACCATAGGTCCCTAGACGAGTCAAGCAGACATCACAGATTAGCAAAACCCTTAACAATACATCAAAACACTACACTGCAGTGGAACAGAAACTGCACATTGGAATGTAGGGGTGCCCTACAGGTTTGTGCATTCCAAGTAACTGGTCAGACTTAGAATCCTTCAGAAGTTGCACTGGATGCTTCAGGGAAGTCATATAAACTCCAGAATCCAGGCCATTTGTAATCACTACCACCTGGATTTGGCCTTATAAAAGCCTGACAAGCACATACTGCAGGCTGGGATTAAAGATACACTCTGTAGGATGATGTAATACCATCAAAGATTGGGCCGGGCCCGTACAAAAACATAAACAAATGGATCCGAAGATATTTCCACATGCAAATAGCACTGGATTTCTAAACACAGCAAAAAAAGAAACGTCCCTTTTTCAGGACCCTGTCGTTCAAAGATCATTTGTAAAAATCCAAATAACTTCACAGATCTTCATTGTAAAGTGTTTAAACACGGTTTCCCATGCTTGTTCAATGAACCATAAACAATTTAAGAACATGCACCTGTGGAACAGTCGTTAAGACACTAACAGCTTACAGACAGTAGGCAATTAAGGTCACAGTTATGAAAACTTAGGACACTTAGGCCTTTCTACTGACTCTGAAAAACACCAAAAGAAAGATGTCCAGGGTCCCTGCTCATCTGCGTGAACGTGCCTTAGGCATGCTGCAAGGAGGCATGAGGACTGCAGATGTGGTCAGGGCAATAAATTGCAATGTCCATACTGTGAGACGCCTAAAACCGCGCTACAGGGAGACAGGACGGACAGCTGATCGTCCTCGCAGTGGCAGATCACGTGTAACAACACCTGCACAGGATCGGTACATCCGAACATCACACCTGCGGGACAGGTACAGGATGGCAACAACAACTGCCCGAGTTACACCAGGAACGCACAATCCCTCCATCAGTGCTCAGACTGTCCGCAATAGGCTGAGAGAGGCTGGACTGAGGGCTTGTAGGCCTGTTGTAAGGCAGGTCCTCACCAGACATCACCGGCAACAACGTCGCCTATGGGCACAAACCCACCGTCGCTGGACCAGACAGGACTGGCAAAAAGTGCTCTTCACTGACGAGTCGTGGTTTTGTCTCACCAGGGGTGATGGTCGGATTCGCATTTATCGTAGAAGGAATGAGCGTTACACCGAGGCCTGTACTCTGGAGCGGGATCGATTTGGAGGTGGAGGGTCCCCCAGAAATGTCCAGGAACTTGCAGGTGCCTTGGTGGAAGAGTGGGGTAACATCTCACAGCAAGAACTGGCAAATCTGGTGCAGTCCATGAGGAGGAGATGCACTGCAGTACTTAATGCAGCTGGTGGCCACAGATACTGACAGTTACTTTTTGACCCCCCCTTTGTTCAGGGACACATTATTCCATTTCTGTTAGTCACATGTCTGTGGAACTTGTTCAGTTTATGTATCAGTTGTTGAATCTTGTTATGTTCATACAAATATTTACATATGTTAAGTTTGCTGAAAATAAACGCAGTTGACAGTGAGAGGACGATTTTTTTGCTGAGTTTATAAGCCTATTTTGAAGTGTTCAAGGTATTTGATGAGAACAACTTTACTTTTGTCCAATGAAAACCACAACATAAACAATTGAGTACTGGGGGTTTATTTTTAAGGTAATAAACAAGTACTTGTAAAAGTATTTGTTGGAAGCCTACTAATTAGCCTAATTTTGAGACCCTTTGTAACCCTCACTAAGGATACATGTAAATGTGTGTTTCAAATGTTTTACCAAATACATGTTCACAAGAAATCACTCTATGGAATTTACAATCGACCAAATCTTAAACTCAAGTTTCAAAATGACCAAATATGAAACATCGACAATGAATTGCTTGAAAAACAGAAGTTGATTTTCATCAAAGACATAATGAACTTTTGACAGAAAAAGTTGTTCAAAGCCCTTCAAAACCCAAAAATTGTTACATTGCAACTTACCACTGGCCAGATTCCCCCAAATTACGCCAACACTGGTAGTAAGTAAAATAGTCCATAGATTGATCGTAGTCGACTTTTTCGCCATAGTAAATAGTGTGCAGCGCGCAGACAATAGGATTTTATCCGCTACCAACTCCTCTCCAATAAAAATGAAAAGTATCCAATTATTTTCTAGAAGTCGTATTGGAAGGATCTGACACGTTAACACAAGTAGTTATCATTATCATTTCTCAACATCATTGAATAACACTGAAACTTATTTTGCTCTAGAATCCACTTTTAAAACAGCTGTTTTCGTCCGTATTAGAACCTCACTAGTATTCTGCCAGCAGCACAAACGATGACGCCATATCGAATGGTAAGGTCAAAACCTTCAAAATAAAGGACAGTATTATGAAACAACAATGCAATTTTTACATTTACGTCATTTAGCAGACGCTCTTATCCAGATTGACTTACAGTTAGTGAGTGCATACATTTTTTCATACTGGCCCCCCGTGGGAAATGAACCCACAACCCTGGCGTTGCAAGCACCATGCTCTACCAACTGAGCTACATGGGGCTAACTCATTCAAAAGATATTGCATTTTAATCAATGGCCACTTTTATTATGCCAACAAGAAATTTATGAAAACAAATAAAAAATATGGTTTTCTATATATATATTTAAGACCAATAATGAAAAAATGCTATGTTATGTTGAGAATATTGGGCTGTAGAGAGAAAACTTTTCTACCTGTCTCAGCTAAAGTGGGGTGGGAAATACTCAGTAGGGTTTCTACTAACCAAATATGTGTCGTTTTGGAGGGGGACTGTGTTATAGACACATGCATTTAGTCATGCATGTTATATTCATTACAAAACCATAAATTAATGTACTGTTGCTGTGTTGAATGTCAGTTGGAAAGAAAAAACACTGTAACACTTTTTGTTGCTTACCCTGTTTGCTTCCAGTGTGAAATAAAATTACGTTCCATACTAGACTTCCATGCACTCTTGCCTTGCTCTGATGGAGGTGCCAAATATCGATTATTAGCAGTTGATTAGTCGAGAAGCCAACTGCTTCAAAGACAATGTAAATATTGATGGCGTGGCATACCTAATAACGACCTAGATTAACCTAATGGTGATGGTAATACCTGCACCTTTACACATTTAAATCAGCCCAAGTCCAGCCTTGACATGAGCCAAAAAATGCATCAGGTCAGTCACTTTGCCTGGCAAATAAAATACTTTTGAGGCAGTATCCAAGAAAAATCATGTTGCGATATGTTTATATCACCCCAGTTATGCATAGCCTTACAAGGATTTTCTTAAACCCACCTTGGTCGCAATTAATCCAAAGGTTCGTTTCTTGGACTTGGGTTTTGGACTGATTCATGGATCATATAGCCCATCTCTCCAAATTGTCATTTGTGAGAAAATACAAGTGATTATTACTTGGCCTTTGTCTTATTAGAAGTCCTGTCTTATTTACTTATTCTCTAAAGCAGTCTTATTAGGTCTCTAAAGCAATCTTATTAGAGGGCAATGTGTATACTTTGTCACAATGGCATACAAGAGTACGTTTTATATGAGTTATCAGTATCAAGGCTCAGGATAAGACCCAGATGCAGACAGTTCGAAATATCAAACGTTTATTGACAAAAACAGTGGGCAAGCAAACGACAGCTCAAGGGCAGGCAGAGGTCAGTAATCCAGAGTCCGAAAGGTAAAGAAACGGCAGGCAGGCTCAGGGTTGGGGCAGGCAAAGGTCGGTAATCCAGAACAGTGTCACAAGGTAAAGAACGGCAGGCAGGGTCAGGGCAGGCAGAATGGTCAAAACCAGGAAAAAAGGGACTAGAGCAAACCAAGAGTGCGGGTAAGCTTGACGAGACAAGACGAACTGGCAACAGACAAACAGAAAACACTGGTATAAATACACAGGGGATAATGGGGACAAATGGGAGACACCTGGTGGGGAGTGGAGACAAGCACAAGACAGGTGAAACCGATCAGGGTGTGACAATCAGAGAGAAAATGACTACGTAATACATTTAACACTCTACAGAAAATGCCTTTGCAAGCGTTACTATACTGTGTACTAATAGACTGGTTAATATTCATAACATTTAACTTATAAATAAATGAGATTTTCATTTTAATAAAAAACGTATTTTGTGTTTCTTTTGTGGTTGTTGAGCGCGTATTAATTTCAGTACCAGGTCCTTTAAAGCTGTGTTGCTGGATATGTATGAGTCCCCCTCCAAAACGATACATATTTACTATTACAGTGTATTGGGGGCTATGGAGGGGGCGGAGTGAAAAGCCATCAGCAGGCCGCGCTACACAGTCCCCTTCTAAAACTAACCAATAGAGACCCTACTAAATATTTTCCACCCCACTTTAGCTGAGACATGTAGAAAAGTTTTCACTCTACAAGCCAATATGTATCCCATGTACAGTCTATTACAGTGTATTGCATAGGGGGCTAGGTATGTACAGAGTATGTACGACACGGTCCCCCTACAAAACAACACATATCTAAATAATACAATATTTAAATTAATACATGTCAAATTATCCATTTTTTTAAGGTGCTTGTAATGCTTTGAAAAACTGTTGTACTGCACTAGAGTGCGAAAAAATAAATAGATATTCCCAGATTTGAGCAATTCTTTGCAGGCGGACTCTTATTTTGAAAAATAACATTTGCGTTCGCACTGCCACATAATATCCTGCTGCTTGGAGAACAATAATAAACTCCATGATCGGAAATCACATTTCTCTGACAACTATGTGCTACTATTCTGCCAGCAGCACAAATTATGACGTGTTGTTGTATGGTAATGAGAAAACCTTCAAAATAAAAGTCCACGTTTCAAAACATTTAAACGTCAATAACTTGTAATCAATGGCCATTGTTATGGTGCTTATAAGCAAATGCAAGAAGATATTCATTAAATAAATCAGAAATATGTTTAAAAAAACATTTTTATAGACCACTATCGAAAACTACAATGTTCAGACTGGTATATTCACAATATTGGGCTGTATTCTTTGTGCCAATGTAAAAGTGGCATTGGGAGTAGTAAGTAGGGTCTGTAGAATCTACCACAATTTAATGCTCTATGTTATTGCCTAAGTTGTTGGGAAAGTGGTCACATTTTCAGTTGTGTGGGTTCTACAATCCTGCCGAGTTGCATGAAATTTGACAAATCGGTAATGGTCGTTATAGCCCTAAGTGGACTGGCCATCTTGGAACACAACAACTATTCCTTCACAATCTGTCTTTAAACTAGTGTAGAGGCCGTGTCCGAAATCTGTCTTGCCTTTTACTTACTAAAACTACATACTGTGTACTAATTGTACTACATAATATTTACAACATACTGTATAGGAAAAAAAGTTATAGGACCGGTGCTAGGCGCTGATTCAGCATTTTGAGGTCTTAGCACAAGGCCAGCGGCCAACAATGTTCTGTTTAGTCTTTACTGCAGTGGGCTAAATCAGGGTCACGCAGAGTGTTTCTTGGCAGTCTTAAACAAATCTAGTTTGAAACAAAAGTATACGCCTCACACACATGGGCTTAAAAAAAGAAGACGCCTGTACCACGTCAGAAATAGAGTTGAAATGTATTACATTTTGAGTTTTCATCCCAATATTACACATTATATACAGTGGGGAGAACAAGTATTTGATACACAGACGATTTTGCAGGTTTTCCTACTTACAAAGCCTGTAGAGGTCTGTAATTTTTATCATAGGTACACTTCAACTGTGAGAGACGGAATCTAAAACAAAAATCCAGAAAATCACATTGTATGATTTTTAAGTAATTAATTTGCATTTTATTGCATGACATAAGTATTTGATCACCTACCAACCAGTAAGAATTCTGGCTCTCACAGACCTGTTAGTTTTTCTTTAAGAAGCCCTCCTGTTCTCCACTCATTACCTGTATTAACTGCACCTGTTTGAACTCGTTGCCTGTATAAAAGACACCTGTCCACACACGCAATCAAACAGACTCCAACCTCTCCACAATGGCCAAGACCAGAGAGCTGTGTAAGGACATCAGGGATAAAATTGTAGACCTGCACAAGGCTGGGATGGGCTACAGGACAATAGGCAAGCAGCTTGGTGAGGAGGCAACAACTGTTGGCGCAATTATTAGAAAATGGAAGAAGTTCAAGATGACGGTCGATCACCCTCGGTCTGGGGCTCCATGCAAGATCTCACCTCGTGGGGCATCAATGATCATGAGGAAGGTGAGGGATCAGCCCAGAACTACACGGCAGGACCTGGTCAATGACATGAAGAGAGCTGGGACCACAGTCTCAAAGAAAACCATTTGTCACGGGTTACAAAGCCAGAACCCAGAAGCAGACCAGGACAAGGTGAGTTGAAACGAAGGTGAGTATTTATTAAACAGATTCAAAAACGATGCTGAATAATCCAGGGAACAGAGCGGGCGGCGGAGATGAGTTGGTGGGGGTGCAGTGGCAGGTCCAACACTGGCTCGGCAGCCGCCGACCACACGGCAGGGGTTGGGTGAAGGTTCCGGGTGAGTGACTGCAGAAAGAACAAAACGGAGGTAAGTACACAGCAAGCCAATAAGGTGCAAAACAACAAAACTAACGCTAGAAGCTCCAAGGCAGATACTCTGACAAACATACTGTTCATGGCTAACGATCCGGCAGGGAATGGATGTCAGGTCAGAGCTTATGAAGGTGAAGATCAGGACCAGGTGTGCAGATCGCTGATGAGATGCAGGTGCGGTTAATTGGGAGCTCTCCCGCCTAGCAACGTCGCCCGGCAACCAGGCAGGGAGCGTTCAAGAACCCTCAGGAACTTGGAGATTCCGAGCGGAAAAATGGCAACACAGGCAGGAACCGACTCAGGATGCAGGGTTCATGACAGTACCCCCCCTCCGACGAACGCCACCGGGCGGACTACCCGGAGCGCCAGGATGGAGGCGGTAGAAGTCACGAAGGAGGTCAGCATCAAGGATCTGTCGCCGAGGGATCCAACTCCTCTCTTCAGGACCATACCCCTCCCAGTCCACGAGATACTGGAAACCCCGGCCCCGCCGTCTGGAATCCA